ATTATTAAATCACAATTTTTTTGCTAATCGTTAGTAAAATACGTATACAAGTCTCGGAAACGACACCGTTTTGCTCATAAACCACACGCAAACCCTACTTACTATTCGACAAAAAGAGATTCGAAATCAAAGTTTGTTTCATTTCTTGTGATTGATTTCGATGTCATCGTTTATCATCAGAAGATCTCGAGGCAGATCCTTACTTCTCTGGAAAACCCATGGATTCAAAATCACAACTAGTTTCTCTCCCTCCACTGATTCACTTTCGGCTTCTGGGTTCTCTTCATTTTTAACTAGAAGCTTCAAAACCACCTCTTTTGGATTCGTATCTGGGAAAATCTCTCATTTGAATCAGAAATTTGGTAACTTCGTCTGTTCTGTGAATGGTTCCGTTTCCATGACTCGACGACCATTGAGCTCTGAGGCTGTAGCTGTGGCCGCGACTTGTGACGGACTTACGGTGGAACGGATCATAGCTAATCAGTGGCCGATATTAGACGAGAATGAGAGTGATTGGAAGAGCCACGCTGCAGCAATTGCACAGTCCATTCAAGTCATCAAGAGACGATTGCAGGTAAAAAAAATTCAAACTTTCAAGCTTCCCATTGTGTTAGATAAATGAAACTGAGACTTGGATATTACCTGTGTCTTGGGCTTTTCTAGAGATAGAATTTTTACATGTTTTTGTTATCATTTGGGCAGTGGAAGAAACTTTTGGTGAGGCTCAAAGTGTTATCTGCAGAGCTGAATAAGCCTGATCTCTGGGATGATCCAGTTCGTGCTGGTAAGATAAGCCGGGAGCACGGTTCCCTCACGGGGAAAATGAAAGGAGTTATGACTTTTGAGAGAGAATTGCTTGAACACATTGACATGTTAAAACTCGCTAAAGAGGAGAACGATTCAGAGTTAGAATCGGTGGGAGTTTCCACTCATTTCTCAAATCTAGGCATGTGTTCTGCTAGTTTCAGTTTTGTAGACTATTCTCAGAGTTGCTAAATCTGGTTTCTTAGTAGTAGTAATAAAGACTCAAATCATATTTATTGCTAAGCCATGATTATTTATCTCTGCTGCAGGAAACTTTGAAGGCATTGATGGACATGAGAAGGGTTTCCAAAGAGAAAGAACTTGAGGCTTTATTATCTGGGGAGAATGATCGTTGTTCTTGTTATATCGAGGTTACTCAGAGACAATAGTCCATGATATGTTCTGTTTCTGTCTCTGAGTTCATATTAAAAAGCTTGAAGGGTTGTTGAATAGGTTCAAGCTGGAGTTGGAGGAACAGACTGCAACGATTGGGCATCAATGGTAATGCAAATGTACAAAGCTTGGGCTCAGCGTCGCAAATTCTCAGTCACTGTGGTCGATGAAATGCCTGCGGAGTTGGCAGGAATCAAGGTTTAATTTCTTTTGATATATGATAGGAATTGAATCATGCATTTGTATTGCAGGTATATGATAGGATAAAAACCAGTAAACTCTTTCGTTATTCACCTTTATCAAGAGCTACACATCATAGTGAGAGTTAGACAATTCCCAAAATCCCAAACCCTAGACAAATCCCTAATACTACCCAACTCGTTCAACTCGTTCAGCTCCTACATATTTTTCATATGTTATCTTTCTAGCTAGCTGATTTAAATAGTTGCTGAACATAACTACCACTACATATCACTTAGGCTAATTACCATGCTCCTGCACTAGACTAACACAAGACTTATCATAATCACATCATAACCGTTGGCTCACTTATTCATCCAATTGTGTGGTTTATCCTTATTCACTGCTAAATCTCATGTTCTGTTTAATGGAAATTGGTCAACTCTATAATTCTGAACGGTTGGCTTACGATTGATCTAATGTCTTGATTAGCGTGCGACAATCAAAGTGAACGGCGAATACGCATATGGTTATGCTAAAGCAGAAGTTGGAGTTCATAGGCTGGTGCGTATATCCCCATTTGCCAGTGGGAAAAAGAGGCACACTTCGTTTGCAGCGGTTGCAGTTATTCCAATTCTAGGTGATGGGTCCACCCGTGTGCAGATCAACGACTCGGATCTCCGGATCGAGCGGTTCCGTTCTGGAGGAGCCGGTGGACAGCATGCTAACACAACGGACAGTGCTGTGAGAATCACTCACATACCAACTAGCATAACAGCAACTTGTCAGAATGAAAGGTCTAGTTTCAAAGTCTTAATTTTTTTGGTTTTCCGGGTTTTCTTCTTTCCGCCTCAAGATATGTATACAAACGTAGGACCGAATTGTTTTTGATTTGGTTAAAAAAGGATTAATAAATA